TTTTTATCATTTTACAAAATATCATTGCATATTTCCACATATTTCATAATATTTCCACAATGTCTCTAATTTTTACAATATTTCCCCTCAACATTTCTGACATATGTCCTATATTTTGGTAAGCGACATTTCCATCGACATCGACATTTTAAACCTTGCTTTAGAACGACTGTAGACTAATATGTCATCAAAATAGACCACCAAGAATTTTCCAATGAAGGGCCGTAAAATTTGAGTCATAAATCTCATAAAAGTATTAGGTGCATTAGTCAAGCCAAAGGTCATGATTAGCCACTCATAGAGTCCATTTTTTGTTTTAAAAGCAGTCTTCCATTCATCGCCAATTCTAATCCTGTGGGTGGGGGATAAAAAGGCCAGTTTTCAACAAATCTTGCTGTCGACCTCTGGAAGGATCTAACCTAAGTCTTGCTTTTTTATGATTTTACATTCTGTTTAATTACTTGTGCAACCTTTTTTCAAAAAAAAAAAACCTAGATATGAAGGTGTATCTGACGTAACCTTACCCAACTCAAGAGTCAAGATCCGAACTATGGTGGCTTAGGGTGTAGAATATTATACATGGTTGGATTGGACATTGATTGAGCATCTGGGGTTAAGTGGGTCTACATGTTGACTGCCTTTTTGTCTCAAAAGAATGGTGATTTGTATGGAACTCATGTTTTGTCTCCTTGAGTGAATCATTATTAAAATTTGTATCTTGCTGAATGATTTCAGGTTGCTATTTTGCTCCTTACAGAGATTACTCCAAAAAGTATAGCAGTTCACAATGCTACAGAGGTTGCTAGGTTTGTGGTAAGTCTTAACTTTTCACCTTTTTCATGGATTTGAAATAGATTAGTGCTTACACATTTAATGCTAATTGATGTGATTTTTTTGCCACTAAATTCTTCCTTTTAATTGTTGTTTCATGCACTTGATGAGGTTTGTAACCCTTTTTTGACAATTGCATGCATGTCTCTAGGTCAGGCCAGTGGCATGGCTTTCATTAATACTGTATCCTGTGGGAAGAGTTGTAACCTTTCTATCAATGGGAATGCTTAAAATGCTTGGTTTGAAAGGAAGAAGGTATGCTTACTGTTCTTTTGCAGTCTTGATCGGCTGTTGTTTGTCTTTTGTTTGATTGGCTATACCTGTCTTTTTTTCACAAGAAGAAAGAAGTGTGTTTTTATTCTTTAGGGAGTTTATTAATGGCCAATGAAAAAGAACTTTCAAAATTGAACTGTAAGTAAGCGAAGAGAAATTAGAATCTGAATTGTTATTTGATATTGCACCTCGACAATGAAGCATCCAATTAATGTTTCAATAATGGTTTAAGGCTTTCTGTAAAGAGACAAATTCTTTTGTTAATTGACTGTTTGGACATTAAACAGAACAGTACTTCTGTTTGTTGAGGGTCCAAATAGTTCAACCGCCTGGCTAATCTGGTTTTGACTACACTGCTTATTGTGCTAGCATGTTGTGCTTGACAATGAAGCATCCAGTTAATGTTTCAATAATGGTTAAAAGCTTTCTGTAAAGAGACATTTTCTTTTATTAATTGACTGTTTGAGCATTAGACGGAACATTGGTTCTGTTCATTGATGGTCTAAGTAGTTCAACTGCCTGGCTAATCTGGTTTGACAACACTGCTTTTTAGTTTTTATGCTAGCATGTTGTGCACTTGTGCTATACTTTTCCATCTCCCACTGTACAGCTCCACAATGTATATGGGGGCTATCATTTTTTTATGCTTTTAATACAAAGCCTTCCCATGCCTTATTTTATGTGGTAAGATTATTTCCAGCTCTGTATTTTGTATATTCACTTCTGTTTTTAAGTTTTTCATTTTTTTGACTTCAAGTTCAGACCATATTAATTCATTCAACATTCTTAGATCCCCATTTTGGTATTGCCATTGTTTTTCTTTGGTACACTGGTAATAAGATAAAATAAATTATTGATAGAGGTTCTCATACTGTCATTTAACTCCATATCTCATAACAATTCCAGTAGATTTCTTATTACTCTACTTGTGCTACTTGTATCCCAATTTGAACACCTACAGCATGTACAGCCTAACTGTTCCAATGGATGAGGCAATCTGCATATGTATTGCTTGAGTTATGATACCACCGTCTCTACCAGCTTCATCTTTGTTCGGTTCTCCTTATATCCAACCATGCTCTTGGTTAGGTTTAGCCTGCATTGGGGTTCACATCTACTAGGGCGGGCTTTTTTTTGCATGAAGTTGACCTAAAATTGCTTATAGGGTGTGAAGCCAATAGGCAGGCTCTTTTATGTTCTCTCTTTCTTATTGATTGGTAAGTATAATGTTTTTCATTATTATTAAAAGAACAAGATTTTAAAGTTTAAACATCCCCCAGTGATGAGTGTCAATCACTCTGTTGAGGAATTTTCTCACCCTTTAATAATTCCCTACAACAAATTACCCCAAAACATTTGTGCTCTGTTCACCCCCTGATCTATGTATCCAAATGAAACTTGTATTTATTTCAGAATCCAAGGTTATTAGCTCCTTAAGATACCATATGACCAATATTGCCAAGGGATGTCCTTGTTTCATTGTAGTCATTGCACCACTACCATTCCGTCCCTCTCAACCATGATATTCCTCAAGCTTAAAGTCCTTGCCAAGCTTAAGCCATGTAGAAATGCTAACAGCTTCGTCCTGATTGAGTTTCCTATCCCTATAGGTCCATGATATAAAGCCACGGTGCTCCATTGTGATTTATAAAGGCATTTCCTATTCTTTTTTTTTATCAGTAAAAGAAATTTTATTAATGAATTTCAAAGATTACATTCAGATCTGTTTAAAATCCACCCCAAAAGTACATGGTTTCACAGAATTGCCCAGAATAACTGTTGTCTTACTGCCCCTTCACTAGAGTGTCTGCCATTCCAATTGCTGTTCATCTCATCCATTTGAAAAACACTTTTTTTTTTTATCAGCAAAAAACTTTCATTGACAGAGAAATTAAGTTACAATAAATAAAGATTGCAGAGGGACACACTGCAATCTCCAGTAATTAGTTACAATTCTGCCCAGTACAATGAAGATCTATTTGCTCTTTGTTTTGCTAGGGTATCCGCCATCCCATTTGCGTCCCGTTTGACCCAACCAAATTGAGAGTTGAACTTCCTTGCAAGTGTGTCAATTTCTCTGAAGATAAATTTGAGCTTCCTAGGTACTGATGTGATGTTTTTGGCCCAAGAGATGACCAATAGTGAGTCTCCTTCTATTTCTAAGTCTCTTGTTCCTATCTGCTCAGCCATCTTTAGACCTTGAAGTAGGGCTAGAGATTCAGCCTGTATTTAGTCACCAATACCTATTGGTCCTGAGTAGAGTGCCACCACCACAACTAGATGATTTCTAAACACACCCCCTATGTCTGCCCTTCCTGGGTTGCCAAGAGAACTCCCATCAAAGTTCAGTTTTAATTTGTTTAGTGCTGGTGCCTTCCATGCCATGCTTACAAGTACTTTGGGTAAATCTGTTTGTGCTACTTCAGTCCAATTTCTTAGTATCTCATTCGTGGAGTAGTTTCTGAATATCTCCATGGTCTTCACCCAATGTGCAGTTCTGATTTTTATGTTTTCAATAACTTCCTCCTTTGTTTTGCTCTTTTCAGAAAAGATTCTTAGGTTTCTTTCCTCCCATATAGTCCATAATGTAGCTGATCTTACTACCTTCCGTAAGCATTTTCCTCTTTTCTTTTGTTGACACAGGAAAGAGGGGCTGAATAGACTTACCACATCCTGTGGGGGAACCCATCTGCATCCAAAGAGAGAACAAACAACATTCCAAATACCAGAAGGAAAATAGCAGGATAAAAGTAAGTGGGTTAGGGTTTCATCACATCCCAAACAAAGGACACACACATGAGGAGAGAGGCAATTGTTTGGCCTCCTTTTCTGTAGCACATCACAAGTGTTTACCTTCCCTAGGAACACTTCCCAAYAGAAAGCTTGTACTTTTGGAGGGATCRGTTTAGWCCAGATTTCTCTCACTGGGAAGTTCACCCCCATAGGATCAATGTGAGTGAGCAAAHYRAAGAAAGATGCACAGGAAAATAAACCATCAGAAGTTGGGGACCAAACTCTACAATCAGCTATAGATTGGTCCAAGTAGACCTTCTCAAGTGTTGAAATCAAAAGCACTAGAGACTCACACTCATTTTCCCTCAAACCTCTTCTGAAACCAAAATCCCAAGAGATCCCTGAATCTGAAAGCACACCCAGCCTAGCAACAAGTTTCTTTTTATGGTTTGATAAGGAGTAGAGGTCTGGGAATTTGAACATAAGAGGCACTTCTCCAACCCAAAGGTCTTCCCAGAATAAGACTTTGTTACCACAACCGACATCAAACCTGATAAATTGAAGAAAAGTTGGATATACCTCAAAGATTGCCTTCCAAGGAGAAGATGGAGCTGCATTGGGGGCTAGTTTTGCATCCCAGCCGTTATCTACCACAATCTTTCTTCTTCACAAGGGAATCTCCACAGCCATTTCCCTAGAAGGGCCTTGTTTTTCTTTAACAGGTTCCCTATACCTAATCCACCCTGCTCCTTAGGGTAATAGACTTGCTCCCACTTCACTAAATGATCTTTCTTTACATCACCTGGTTCCCACAAAAAGTCTCTCATAATCTTCTCCAACTTCCTAGCTATTTTCACCGGGATCTTGAAGGTGGAAGGGAAATAAGTGGGTAGGTTTGCTTGGGTTGATTTTATCAAGGTGATTCTTCCCCCCAGGGATATATAATTTCTCTTCCACATTGCCAACTTCTTTATGAACATCTCTACCACCGGTTTCCAGAAACTTTCAGCTTTCGGATTCCCACCCAAGGGCATACCTAAGTATTCCAGAGGCCAATTTTTCACTTCACAACCTAGCAGATTTGCCATGGCTTGGATGTCCCCCCCTTCAATGTTGATTCCAGCTACACAACTTTTTCTCTAATTGACTTTCAGTTTGGAGGCCTGTTGAAATTCATCCACCAATCTTTTCAAATTCCTTAAACTAGATTCATCACGGCTTTCACAGAAAATGATTATGTCATCAACAAATTGCAAATGAGACACCGCCACTTCTGATCTACCCATCCTCCAACCTTTAAACTGGTTTTCTTGATCAGCCTTGATGATTTGTCTACTCAAAACCTCAGCCCCAAAGGTGAATAAGAATGGAGATAAGGGATCACCTTGTTTTAGTCCTCTTTTGGCTTGGAAGAAATCCTTTGCTACCCCATTCATCAGAATAGAAAAGTGTGCTGAGCTAATACATTCTTTAATCCACTTCTTCCATCTTTCACCTAGCCCCATCTTTCCATTAAGTTCAACAGGAAGGACCAATTCACCATATCATAAGCTTTTTCTAGGTCCAATTTACAAATCAAATCTTTGCCACCTTGTTTTCTCTTAGCTGCCACACACTCATTTGCCACTAGGATTTGATCCACAATTTGTCTCCCTTCTACAAAAGCTCCTTGGTTCTGAGAGATAACATAGGGCAGTACAGTCTTCAACCTACCAGCCAGGGCTTTAGAAATGATTTTATACAACTACCCACTAGACTTATCGGTCTGTAATCCTTAGGGGTTTTGGCCTCCTTTTTTGGCACTAAAGCAATAAATGTTGCATTTGCTCCAGGCGATAATTTTCCTTCTTGGTAGAACTCCACAAATACATCCATTAATTCATCTTTCAAAATTTCCCAACAATCCTGATAGAAAGCCATTGRAAATCCATCCGGCCCCGGAGCTTTAGATCTATCCATCGAGAATATTGCTTCATGTATCTCCTCAATAGTGAAGGCTCTTTCTAGGAGGTCAACTTCGGACTCTGGCACTCTGTCTCATTGTAAGTCTTCCAATTCTGCAATGTTTTCATAAGAGGATGCTAGGATTGACTTAAAATGATCCACAAAGCATCTTTCAATTTTCTCTTTTGCAATTACTACTCTTCCCTCCACCTCTATACTGGAAATTTGATTTTTCCGTCTCCTCTCATTTGCTAGGGAGTGGAAAAATCTGGTATTTCCACCCCCTCCAGAAGCCATTTACATCT